CCAAGCAGTGAGAATCGATAATTTTCTTGGCAAGTTTCGATATCTTACAAGAAGCTTTACAGTGTAGACTAAAAAGTACAGTTAGTGTAGGTATATATATATATATAATCTCTAAGGCCTGTCTAGGTATATCAGCTTTAGGTCTATTGCTGGCATTGTATCGATTGTCGATACAAATTGATATCGATTATAAGTTGATTATGAAGCACAAGTTTGCCTTACAATGTATGCACACTTAGTCACAGCGAGCGCGTACTATGCATATACTATATATTACTATTATTTATATTCGATTATTCGATTAATAATCGAATGTTAAACGACTATTAGCATTAATAAATTATATTATGTATATTACATTATAGTTAATAGGTATGTGCCAATAAGTAGCAGTAAGACCGTGAATATTCTCATTACATTTGGATATCGATTATATATCGAATGTTAAGCGACTAACATTTATTATTATTATCGTAAATACAATGCGTATACGTAACAATAAATTGTAATCGAATCATGAATTGTAATCGACAATTTCATATCGATTATTTATAAATGACTATCGATTATTAATCGTTTATTCAGCATAAATGCAATTTTCTGTGCTATAATAAATAGCTACATAAGAGCCAATGCTATGAACATTATATTCCTATTACTTTTGAGCATCTCTTATAAATCGATTATTAATCGAAACGATTATTATCATTTATTAATTTTTTTTGTCTATTGCCTGGCTATGTCTTATCGATTATTTATAATTACTATCGATTATTAATCGTTTATTTAACACACAAGTCATGATCTGTGCTCTGCTCAGTAGCTACATAAGCGCCAAGGCTATGAACACAATGCGTATACGCTATATTCTGTGCACACACCTTAAAAACTTAATTAGCAGTTAATGTGAAATGCAGTTGAAGAAGTACTTGTAGCTGCTCGTTATACCAACAAAGAGAGACGTGGCTGGCTGGCTGGGTGTTTAGTTTCGAGTGTCTAATTCAATTATACGCATTTAACAAGCGATTGTGACTCGATTGTGCAAACGGCATGACCGAGTGCATATGCCCAAAGCGCTTTCAATCACTGCTCAGACTGCGATTGCAGCTGTTGTTGTCGTTCATATTTACTTGTTATTTAACTGCGTTGTTGTTGCTGCTGCTGCTGCTGTTTGCACACATTTTTCACAGAGTGTAACATTTTAATTAACACAAAGCTCATAATTTGTAAACGGATGTAAAAAAAACAACAAGCAGAGGGAAATTTTGTTTAATGTGAGCGAGTGCTAATGAAGTGCTATAACTGCTCATTTGTTGTTTCTTTATTTTATTATCCATATATTATTAGATTTAGCACCATTTTTTAGCGCCCAGTAAATTGCGCTGGGCTCTAAGTTGTTCGCTTTTGTTCCAATTAGCCAGCTCAGTCCTAAATAATTCAATCAACTATTTAGAGCTGACAAAAGTCCAGACGAATGTCGTTCATGTAAGCCCTAATAAATACTATTGCTCAGTCGTAAATCGTGCAAGTTGGCTATCTAGGGGCGAATACAAATAATATATAAACATTAGCCGACAACTAAATCACAAACAAACGCAAAAATCAATACGGAAACTTTATCAGGCGGCGCTCATATAAATTATGACTAATTGTGCTAAAAACGAGACTGAATGGCAAGCATTTGGGGTTCCGAGTTGATAAGTCGCCAGATAACGTACTAGTTCGCGGAATGAGTGGGCTATCGACAGTCGAGGACTACCTCAAAGGGGGACCAGCCATAAAAATCAAGTAATATTTTCAATCGACATTCACTAAGTGTGAGATTCACCCGACCAATCCCTGGGGCGATTCGAACTCTGCAATGAGAGTCATAAAATGAGCCCAAGAAAGAGCATGCTGTAAGCCTTGACCAAACAGAAACTATCGAATGTATTCCCGCCACACTTAGAGACTCGATAAGCCAGTTGCCTTAGCCAACTAAGATACCAAATGAACCACTGTCACGCTGTCCCCTTCTGAAGCTTCGCTTGACTTTAATTTGATTCTTTAAACTAGCTAAAACTTTATAATAAAAAAATTTATTTTTACAATATTTGAAGTTTGCCGTCTTTAGAGTTGACAATTCTAATTCAATTTGATGCACAAGTTCAATTGTTCATTTTTGAATCATGAACCAGTTCACTTAAGATCAACAGCTGTTCCCTGAACAAGTTTATTAGTTCATTTCATTGAATCGTTCAAGCGAACTTATTCAACTTTTGCTACAGCCAAAGCCAAAACACTTATTTCAGATACTTCAAATGGCTACCAAATTATAAAGCTGAGACTTATTGAGAATGGCACACACACTATTAGTTGAAATACATTCTAAAATAGAAATTCAAAGAAAAATGTATTTTTTATAATTTTTTTTTATCAAACTAAAGTCATTTTTCATTTCTTTTTTTAGAACTTTCGATATTTGCTTAGCTGTAAATAATTTTTCTTAAACGCGGTCCTTATCGTAACACAACAAAATACGGTCGTACCCCATTAGGGTGTGTGTGCGTGTGTGTGTGGGTTGTGTATCGAAAAGAGAAAAAAGCGCTTAAGTACCGATAAGAAATTTGCCATTTTTACAATGGTATCATAATAATTTATGGCTGCCCATTGAGTGTTATAAAAGCTTCAATATTTTGTAGTTTATGACTTGCGCCAGTTGGAGCATGGGCGTAATTACACACATACGCACACACACACATGCAGGCACACTAAATACATAAGCTATACGTCATTATTTCCAATGTGCTTCGTTAGTCTCCATGAATTATGACTCTCAACTCGTTTGCTCAGTTTAGGTTCGCTACACTCTCACTCTCTCCGTCTCACTCTCTCTCGCTCTCTCTAGGCTTCGTGCCCTGCTGGGCCATAATTTATGGCATGCGGCGAAATGGATTTTATTGCAAAAGCCGTGTTCGAGTTTATGGCACAACTGTAAGTGGGCAATATTCATTTCATTTATATGCACTTTGCTTTGTGCCCTGTGCCTGTGGCTCTGGCTATGGCTGTGTTTGCGTCGGCATTTCTCTCACAGAGCAAACCGCAAATCGCTAATTTTCACTTTTTAGGCTGAAAAGTAGCACTAAAGCTATATTAAGTATTAGCCATGATTCATGGCCAATGATTAGCCCAATTCGCCTAATCATTTGCTAAATATTACGTTGTCATATTTTATGGCCACTTTATGGCTAGCAATTCCGTTGAATTAATTATGAGAGCAGGCAAATTATTATGCGTACACCTCATCCACTATAAATAGTTTTATCAAAATTTAATAAAGTACGTAATTGAGCAGAAGAGCGAAGAGTTATGACTTTCGCTTTCTTTCTCTTTCTCTCTCTCTTGGTCTGTCTTTATTTATTCTTCCTGTTTCAGTTCTGTATAAGAAAGCTTCTTTAATTTTATGATTGTATATGAAGCAATAGTATACATAACAAGCATTAGTTATTTCTTTTTTTTCAATCAAAAATAAATGCCAGAGAAATAAATAGCATTTTTATCGGAGATATGTCAACTTTATTTTAATGTACCAGAAGACAAAAATTTTTTTTATAAACTTTGCCCTATTGAAGCTACTAATAGGTAATATAGAGCGCTATCACTCTCTTTGAAATACTGAAAACATAAAATACTTTAAATACTATAAAAAACTATAAAAACTATAGGCAAAATTCTTGAACATAATGTACAACGCAATATTATCATATAGCACATAAAATATTATGGTTACCTCGCCCTTCTTTTTATAGTATCCTACAGCGTTGCGTAGTATATTTGGGTTATATAAAAAACCAAAGAAATATAAAATACTATAAATTAATTCTTTTTCTTTTCTAGAAGTAAAAAAAAAAACTTTTTAATATTTTACAAAATTGCATAAAATACTTAAAATACTTACAAAATAAATGCCAAGAGATACCAAGAAGTACTATAAAAATATAAATGAAATACTTTAAAGTACTATAAATATTATACTGTAAAATACTGTTATATACAATAGAACAAAACCCCATTTTATTAGTATAACAGATTGTGGAAAAATTTATGTAAATTTGCCAGTTTGTCAATGAGTTGATAGTACGAAGAGCTAAGCACATTGGGGCCCTATTTTAAAGCTTCTGAGATACAATCTGAATAGATTTAACTAAAATATATATTCAATAATCGTCAACATGATTTCTATGCTTCACTTCAGTTTAAGCTTAAACTAAATCTAAAAATAATTTCTTTAAAATTTGTTCTAATTTTATATTTTATAGCTGTAAAGATATGTTTCATAAAATTTGAAATGAAAAATTCTAGAATTTTGTTTATTTCTCTACGTAGTTTTTATGGGGCAATTCTCGTCATGTTTAAATCTGAAATGAAATATTCATTGAAAGGGAAGGCAGAGTTTGCGTGTTGTGTCATTAGGTGGCATAATTTAAAGACTTTTCGCTGCCTCGGCCCGATCTGGTTGTTTGTCTTAACAACGCGCTTTATCATATTTGTAGCGCCCCTTGGCAATAAGTTTGGAGCCCACAATGGGGCCCAAATGCTTTCACACTACATTTGCGTCGTAATTTCATATTTAATGTACTTTTTATATCTTTTATTTGCAAGCGCTTTAATAGCCCCATAATTCCATTTATTTTGGCCACGTCGGCCGTATTTATGGCCAGCAGCCCTTATTTATTATGGCCAAGAGCAAATGGCAAATGGCAAATGGCAAATGGGGAAAGGGGAAAGGGAAATGGGAGCAGGCGAAAAGAGATTCAAACAGTGTTCCATGATCGCGCGAGTGTTGGCCAGAGATTAGGATCAGGCTTCGTGCCACGCATTTGGGCCAAAGACAATGCAAATAAGAATAAGGCGACAGAGCGCGGATTGTTTGACTCTTATCTGATGGCACGATATCGACAGAGTGAGAGAGACTAATAATAATTCGTTTCTCTTTGCTTCTTTCTCTCCGTCGCCTGCAGCTGGACAACAAGAGCAGCCCGTTGGCGCTATTGGCACAAACATGCAGCGCCATCGGTGCGGATACCACAAACCCCAAGCTGTTGGCGGCCAATATTGAAAAGTCCACAAAACAGCAGCCGAAGGTCATGGGCAATGGCAACGGACTGGACAGTACACGCGATAAATCCTCACCGGTTAGCAGTCATTCATCCAGCGTTAGCACCGGCTCCGTCGAGCAGCAGCAGCTGCCGCCGGCACACAGCAAAACCCTCAGCACCTTTAAGCCCTACGAGACCAACAACAACAACAACAACAACAGCAGCAGCAGCAGCAACCACAACAACAATAGCGATTGCGGCGCCACAAATCTCACCAGCAACAGCAACAGCAGCAGCAACCAACGCGTAAAGACACCCAAGGCAATGGCCATGGGCATGGGCAGTGGAGCCTCGGCAAACGGACAGCCACGCTGCGACTCGAATCAAAGTGCCAGCAGCAGTTCGCAGCGCGAATCTCCCAATGCCAGCGTCTCGAACCAGCTGCGACGCACGCCCAATGCCACAGGCACCCAGCTCAACGGCAGTCCGGTGCACTCTTCCGCGCCGGCACGCAGCAGCTCCAAAGAGTCAGCGGCGATGCATAGCCCCAGCACAGCCTCGAATCCCAGCTCCACTCGACTGCAAGAGGCGGCCTATGCAGCTGCCAAGGAGGCCAGCTATGTGAAGGCTCTGCATGCGGCCAGCCAACAGGCCAGCCCCTCAGCGGGCTCTTACTATCCGACAGGTAAGAGTTGCTCTAGCAATATCAAAGCAGGTTGTCCTTGAGGTGCTAATCACTCGGAGGCTAGGCTGGGATATATCATACCCAAAGTTTCCATTTCAGCAGAAAAGAGTTTGAATTATAATAGAACATATCTGCTAAAAGTAACTTAAACTTTGATAGATGATCTATAGAAGAGAGTGTCGACTTAAATCCTAGTCTAGTTAGTATCTGATACTAGATTAAGTCTAACTGAAACCTTCTTTGGGCATTATTAAAAGCAATCATAGAATGGAAGCAATCGTTACGCACTTCTGCATAAGTTAGGAAACAGCTTTGAGTCCTTAACAAACCTGAACTGCTTGAGTATATTCGCTGTTCTATATTTCTATAAAATATCTTTTGGTGACTATCAAAACAATTGGGATTTCAGCGATTTCTGATTAAGAAGTGGAATTAGTTCAGTATGATTTTTCCTTGTTAATGGGACAACTCCAAACTAGTTCTGGACAAGAAAAAGAATAAGTCGCTTAACCTACACGAATCAGCTTTCGATCTATAGAAATTAAGCTCCTTTATATTTAGAGTGGCATAAATGTATCAGAGTCTAACATCTCTCGTAACTCTTGGCTTTCTCGTCTGCAGGCTATGGTTCACCCTATCCCATGGATTTGATGACTGCAAGCTCGCTGATGTCGCCGCATCATGCGATGTTCAAGGCCTCGGCTATGAATCCCTATTTGAACTATGCGCGCCTCAAAGGTCTGACGGATCCCTCGGCTATGATGGCAGGCGCGCCCAACATCTGTCGCGATCCCTACTGCACGGGCTGCCCGGCCAGTCCGCACTATATCAACAAGGCAGCTGGGCAGCCCTGCCCGGCGGGCTGTCCGCAGTGCGAGATGGGCGGAGGCGGTAAGTCGGGAGGCAGCTCTGCTGGCGCCGGAGGGTCCAGTGCAGCAGCAGCAGCGGCAGCTGCCGCCTCCTCTTACCACGCCCAGCTGGCGGCATTGGCGGCCGCCTCTCAGCTGCCGTATGTGTGCTCCTGGATTGGCAGCGACGCGGCGTATTGTGGCAAGCGTTTCGGCACCTCCGACGATCTGTTCCAGCATTTGCGCACGCACACAGCCTCCGTGCCGGATGCAGTGCTCAGTGCCGCGGCAGCGGGTGGCATACCACCGAACCATCCGCTCTTTCAGCGCACCTATCCCACCCCGCCGCTCAGCCCACTTTCGGCGGCGGCGCGCTACCATCCGTACGGCAAGCCGTCCATGCTGCCGCCCTCGCTAGCTCCGCCCGGAGTTATGCCCGGACTGCCTCCACATGCCGCGCTGGCTCAGTACTTAGCGCCTTACTCGTTATATGGACCGCGCATGGGCTCCTCGCACCCGTAGTAGAAGCCGCACCCGTAGACGGAGCAGTTGGTCAACATTCAGTCAAATCATTTTGCTTGAGTTGGCCCCCAAACTGTGGGGCAGCGGGCAGGGACTGGGTCAGGGGCGGGTCAACTCATTCGTGAAACGAAAGCTAGTGATCTAATGTACTATAGCTACATACAAATGTTTAAATTTAGCTTTAGGCGAAAAGTTCTATTCAAGGATATGCCGCACATCCACTCGTTCGTCGTGTGTCTCTCTGTATGTCCCATTTAAAGCTTATGGTAATTGTAATATTATTTATTAATAAAAACACAAATACAATATATATAAATATATATATATATATATATATATATATATAGACATGTACATACGTTCGTACATGCATATGTGAAAACCAATTCGAAAATGAAAAGATTGTCCAAAAACTAAAAGTTATAAAACTCTTGTACATTATATTAATAACTACACACACATGTATATGCATGTGTATGTGTGTACATATGCATATGCATGTGTATGCTATGTATGTTTATGTATGTGTAAATGTAATTATGAACACCATTTTAAAGTTCACTTAAGTCACTACAACAAATCAATAAATCAAAGAAAAACTTCAATGAAACTGACTTTTTATGGGCTTTGATTGCAGTTGAAAAAAAAAACAAAATATTTCGGAAAATGATCGTAAGTTCAAACACTTCCATATGCCCCAAATCCTGTATTCTTATCAGGCTATGAACAATTGAAAATGTTGCCATCGGACTGACTGCATAATACTCTTTTACGGGCTCCAAAACTTTGGGAGATATAGCTTTTTCCGATTTGCCATGCCCCCTATAGGCATACAGATGTCTACTATATATATTTGGACTGTCTACACTAATATCTATTCCAACTGTCATGTCTCTAGCACCTCATCTCAGACACACTATAGTATGGAGTAGGCAAAGTCTTTACACCCAGTCTCAATTCTTTAGAGAACGAAAGACGAGCCTATATACTCTGTTCACTTTATAAATGAATATAATAATATGAATGAAACCGAAGATCATGAAGGAGTAGAAAAGCATAGAAATTTCATTGAAATAGACGAAAATTTTAATCATTTCAGATCCACATGAATTTCTTGTTTTTAAATCAAATAAAAATTAAATCAAAAAAAATGTGGCAAGATCTTTTAAGGATCCTTAAGGTGGAGATCGAACATTTATACATTAAATTTAAAGCTAAAAATCATCAATCAAATATCTTTTGTGGTATAAAAGTCAAAAGATCAATTTATAAAATAAATAAAAACTAAATCGTTGAAAAACGAGTTGCAATTGGTGGGATTTTTTTAGCTGTCGTTTAACTATATAAGTTATTCAGCTAAATCCAAATTAAAAGCAAATATATATATTAATATATACTATATTTCAATAAATTCTTCTTCTTTTCGCCTTTGGAGGGATCCTTTAGGAAAGCAACGAGTCCAGCTCCCAAGAATCAGGACTCAGAAGAAAATTTGCACCCTCATCTAATAATATATATTTCTATATAGATGCTACGACTACTCCAGTACAAACGATCCACTTTGGAATGTCAGGGACAATAGCTAAACGACTGTAGCACAAAAAGGCAAAATGAATAAATGGCCCGATGCCAGAGCCAATAAACCAGAGACCCACAAATCATAGAAGGCAGCTACATTGGCCCCTGAATTATGCCCGGTAAGATTGAGAGACAGACAGAGAGACAAACAGAGAAAGGTAGAGAGAGAAAGAGAGATGGTTTGAGGAGGTTGCAAGTTAGCTGCCGAAGTTACGGACACGGCAGTAAATCAAATTTTATATTTCCCCCAAAAAAGAAGTTGCGCTGCGGGCAGAGCGAACTTAAGGGCTGAGAGGCCCAATAGTTACTCTGCTCGGTGCCCACATATGGCGTCGATAAATTAAAATTTTCGTTACACGGCAGTGGAAGTGGGTGTATGACTGGGAGTGGGAGTAGAGCTATATGTTAGCCATGCCTTGCATTTTGACAGCTAGCCGCCCAGTGACTACCTGACAATTTATTGTATTATACGGTTTGGCATTTGGCTGCCCACATTGGGAATGACCTCTCCGGGAGACCAAAATACGCGACGTTGGGGGAGAGATTCGAATGAGAGTCGTAAAAAATATGCCATAAACTTTGCACACACACACACACACGTATACACATTGGAGTTGGCATCAATAATTCTTTCATAAATGTCCATTTCGCCACATATCGCTGAGAATCGCATAGAGAAGCGACACGGCACACATAGCCCGTGACTGACCTACAGTGGAGTAGAGCAGAGTAGTACGTTTCTATTTCTGAATAGCTAAGATAGGTCTAGGAACTGTTAGCAATATATGTCCATATATCGTATATATATAAGAATTTTCCATGCTCAAAACCTTGATCCTAACTGTTGTGCTTGAAGAGTTATTCAAAATATAAAAATTATACTCATATGTTAAGTGTTTGCTATCTAAAGTGTCACAGTTGTGTATAGATGGTATTCAAGGAATTCTAGGGTATCTCTAAGTCGAATACTTCAGTCTATAGCCGGCGCTTTTTTCTTTAGATTTGAGCTGCGCAGGTGAGAGCCATCGCGGTGGCCATTATAGTTCTCGCTGGCCGCGTCCATTTATCATTCCACGCCCCACCCTGGAATCTGGAATCTGGAGTCTTCGAACCAGGGCTGGACTTGTCAGCCAGTGACCAATATGGAGGGGAAAAAACAGTGGCCAGAATTTATCGGTCGAAAATTCCGTGAAAATATTTCTTTTGCCATTTGCAAATTTATTTTTCCTGTTCGCTGCAAAATATAACGGAGATGAAAAATCGGTTCGTATAAAAAAAGGAAAGCAGAAGAAATTATTACAAAGCGAAAGAGGTAACAAAAAATAAATGATGCCCCAACAAAGGTGCTCAAGCAGCTGTTAAAGCAGTCAAACCGATGTAGCAAAAGGTTCCACCGATTGAAACAAAGGAGGGAACAACTGAGGACTGCCTTCAAGCCATTAGAAGCGCCGACTTGGTCCCAGATAGGTGCTGACTACATATATTTAAAATGCAGACAAGGTGCACCAGGTAAGATCGTAATTCATTCAAATTTACGACTGCAACAACAAGAAGTCGATTGCAGCTACTGAAAGCACAAATGCAAAACAATCCCAACTTCTTATACCCTTACCTTGCTTATAGATAATATTCATGGTCAAAACAAATTCTATTTGAGCAGCAAATACACTTCGCACATCGTCTGACGGGAGAGAGAGGATCAAGAGTATGTGAGTGTATAAGCCAAGTCGAGCGAACCAAGTGCAAGCCTCAACAATAATTTCCAAAGCCAAATGACAGGCGACAAAACCATATATCATTGTGCATGGGGGCCCGGGTGATTTTTGTCTGGCTTTGCCACCCACGAGCTGAACTTTTGTCACTTGAAAGGCGTCGCTGGCAGTCTTAAGCGATGTCTGCCTGTTTCTCTCTCTCTCTCTCTCTCTCTCTTGCACTCTTCGGCACGCTAAATTGTAATTTCTTGCAAAACAAAAGCAAAAAGAAATCTTTCATATAAATTACCATGCAAGTGCCGCTGTGTGTTTGCTCACTTTTTAGTTCCACTTTGTGGGGTCTCCACACCACACGATCCCAGTCCAGTCCAGCAACGGCCGATGACATTTCCATAATTAGTCGAGCGTGTCGCGACTTGTCTTTTCTCCGTTGCATGTTTGAACGCTTGCGTTGATTTGATTTGATGCTCAAAGTGAGCTGCACTTTGGGGGAGACTGAAAACTGTGTAGTGGAGAGTGAAGATTGGAGAGTGGTGAATGGTGAATGGTGACTGCAGACTTATGTGGAGAGTTTGAGAGCCTGTCTGTCGCACTTACACGTACATACATACGTAGATATGTATTTATTTATTTATTTATTATGCACAGTTTGCAATCGTCAGTCTGCCTGCCTGTGCGAATTGACGCCGCATTTATGGTGTTGAAATATTAATGCCCAGAGTTGGTTGCTCATGTCATTTTGATTTATGAGTCTCTTCGCACAACTCTGTCCTCGCACAATGCGTATATCAAGCCGAAGATAACGGCCCAGGCGAGCGGACGGCGGCATGGCTAAAGGGGTATTAGGTGTACAGGAGCATGGGGCATGTGAGTAAGAGGCGTATTGAGATGTTGAAAAAACAAATCGTATAATCACGAACAGAATTGAGTGACAGACGTATGAACGACACCCAGTCTGAGTATTGTTAACCTCATTTTGGGCACATCGTATATGTAATGCTTTTAAATATGCATTACACTTATAAAGAAATATGTGATTTGCAGTATCAACCTAGATTAATCACTCAAACAATGAAAATACCCTACACTAAAAATGGCTAATCAGAGTAAATTGGATTTATGCCAAAGTAAGTGTGTTAATCCGCCAATCAGAGTGAAGCTTGTGAAAACGAACTGGTCTAATTGGAATTAGACTAAGGATATTCTTATTGTATGACATTCCAGTCGAGCTACTAGAAAAAAAATAAATTTCAATTGCTCCCCATACCCGTCTTCTACGTTCTATTCAATGGGTATATAAATCAAATTAAGTTTAATCATTTTTATCAAATTGTATTTGACAATCTTCTGATAAGAATTTAATTGAAATTCCTACGTGGGATTATAGGTTGATATCGAAAAATGACGCAAGCTTACCTTTTGATTGATATATTTTTGATATATTGTTAGAAACTGAAGGACTCGACTCTTTTATATTACTGTATTTAGGGAAACTTTTGAGAATTTCTTTTAATCATAACAAAGAGCCGAATCAGAGTCGAAGTACATTAACATTTTGATTGGCTGACCTTTAGCAGAAGGATGTCAGAGACAGTCAGGCAGAAGATGTTGAGAAAAACGCGACACCCAAAGCGACTTCTGGAGTCCACGATCCACGAGGCGTCGTAGGCAATCGCAGCTAACTACAAGCCAAAACAAGCTACTTACAAAGGCTGCTACTCGCTTGCCTTTGGGTGCCTCGCAGAAGACCAGAAGCAGGCATACAAGAGGAGTTGCAGCTACCTAAGTAGAGGTACGTCGAGTCTTCGGCGATGTCTGAGTCGCGGGCAAATGCATTTTATCTTCTTAGCGCTTGCCGAAGCATTGTCCGGCGCGGCGAAGCGAAATGCGTGGACATTAAATATGCATGAGAGGACATTACATATAAATAAATTTAGCAACAGTTTGTATGCAGGGAACGGCAAATGCATTTATCGATGATGATGGTAATGAT